CACACAATTCATGTTAAACAAAGTTGAAATAACAATATGGAGAAACTATCACAATTACAATATATTGTAGGTATATAAATGGAAGCAAAAACAAGGAATGGAAGAAAATGTGCAAAAATTAAACACACGGGTGTGGGTGGGTTGTGAGAGGGTGTAAGCATTTAAACAGATAACATTCAATTTATATAATAATAATATATATTAATAATATAATAATTATAATAGCACCACTGTTTTGCCACTAATCAGGTAAAGAATTTTGGTATCTGTTTCTACTTTGCATCCTTCTCTCTAAGAAATGTTTTTATACATATCTTCATATAGCCTATGTGAAAAAAAAACAAACAAAAAAAATCCTAATATTCCCTAAGGCATTTCTCCTACTTTGAAGCTACTTCAAGTTAATTTCAACAATCCACTAAAAAATGAAAGGGAAAGAAAGATATTAAAAAGTGAATCTTTGAACTGGGCAACTGATAAAATGAAAAGTGAAGTGAAAGTCACTCAGTCAAGTCTGACTCTTTGCAACCCTATGGACTATACTGTCCTTGGAATTCTCCAGGCCAGGATACTGGAGTGAGTAGCCTTTCCCTTCTCCAGGGGATCTTCCCACTCAGGGACTGAACCCAGGTCTTCTGCATTGCAGGTTGATTCTTTACCAGCTAAGCCACAAGGGAAGCCAAGAATACTAGAGTGACTAGCCTATCCCTTCTCCAGGTGATCTTCCCGACCCAGGAATCAAACCGGGCTCTCCTGCATTGCAGACAGATTCTTTCCCAACTGAGCTATCAGGGAAGCCTGATAAAATGAAAAGTTCATGTTAATTGCGTAGAGTTTAGACCTGGCAGTGAACTGCTGATAAGAATGTGCAGACTGCTACCCCTTGCTATTATCATGCTTCTTTTCTTAAAAAGTAAAGAACTTCAAAAATATGACCGTAGTTCGGATAGTCCATTCTAACAGCCATTTTAACTTACAAAACTAAAGTTCTTGATTTAGTAGAAGAGATGGACCCAGAAAAAATGAAAAAGTACTGAAAGTATGTCTGTACAGATGCTTGACATGGAAACCTTAAGGCCACCTATTGGAAGTAGAGAAAAAGCACTAGCAAAGATGAACAATAATCCACAAACTCAGAGTAAATGTCCAGACATACACACAGAGTTAGAAGAACTTATGTGAATTAAGAGTTTCAAATTGTTTTTCAAGTACTTTGTTTAATGCTGACTTTGCAAATGGAGTTTTAATCTCTCCAATAGATCACACTCTGATAATAAAAGTTTGCATTAAGAAAAAGGAATTATATAGCCATCATATAATTAATAAGCTGAAAAATTAAAATTTTACATAAAAATTATTGAGATTGTAGAAATTAAAAAAAAAAAAACAAAACCCAAAAGAGCAGCTATAGTTTACAACCCTACACAATTTATTGACACCAGTTCTTCAAAATTTAAAAACGTATTACCACTGATAAAGATTTTCTTAACTTTCTACTTAAATGTTCCCACATTCCAAAATGTTCCATCAGGAAAAAGATTCACTTCCAAATGAAAGTTAACCACAGAAAGAGGTATAGCAAGCCCAGGATGAGAAAGGACAAACTAAAGCAGCACTCAGTGCTGACAAAGGAGAGCTCTATACATTTTCCAGCTCCAGAAATACCTTATCTCTTTCGCTGGATGCTTATAATTTCTACAGAAGAAAACCCCACAAAGCAGGGTTTTATGTGTGTGGTTTTTGTCAGCAGTCACTGAGTCAACTGGGATGCTTTACAGGAATGGAGATTCCAATCGCAAGTCCCAGGAATTCTAAGTCAATGGGTCTGGAAAGAGCCCAGATATCTGGAACGTTAGCATGAAATGTAAATAATGGCCTTAGAGAGAGTAACCCCATTCTCTTTCTCACAGGATGCCATTCAAACAGAAAGAGATTAGTTTAATTATCTGAGCCAATCAGTGGCAGAGCAAGAATGAAAACCCAGAACTGCTACCACCCAGCTCAATCTTCTTTGCTCTAAATAAGCTTCCGACCTTCCATTTTAATAACGCTTCAACATAAGCTGGAGTAGCTATGATTCCACCTCTATCCACTGTTTGTTTACTCCCTCTGGAGAGACTTCCAAAGTAAATTAGTAAAACTATTATATGTATAAATGGGGAAGCCTACCACGCTCCTCCATCCATGGGATTGTCCAGGCAAGGGTACTGGAGTGGATTGCCATTTCCTTCTCCAGAGGATCTTCCCGACCCAGGGCTCGAACCTGGTCTCCTGCATTGTAGGCAGACGCTTTACCGTCTGAGCCACCAGGGAAATAGTTCAAATAGAGGCAAGAAAAATGAAAACAGTTCATATGTGAGGGAGGGGGGTATACATCAGCTTTCTTTTTTTATTCTATTTATACTTTAAGTTAGGTGGGCAATAAAAATCACTGTTTTTAAAATTAAGTTTTGATGCATGAACTTAAATTAGATCCAATACAAATTAAGTTACAGAGATGCAAATCTAACACCTCTTACAGTTTCACAGTTTTTTTCCTATCATTTGAAAAAATAAGATTACTTCATGTATTGTGTGTATAAAACTTTTACATCTATTTCACTATCTTTTAATGCTTTTCCTAAAACACAGCTAAAAGACCTCTGCATTCAGGAGAAGGGCTCCTTATTTAGTCCATCACTCAAGCTCTTTACACAATCTGCTCAACCACGTGAGAAAATCCACGAGCAACTTTCCTTTCGAAAGAAAGATACATACCAAGATATAAAATAGATGAAACTGGAATATGTCAAGGCTTAACCATGAAGGGCCTTAATTTATCAATCTAGTCTTGAGCCAACTAGTTCCTGAAGACATGACTCAAAACCAAGTCTCTTAATACCTAGCTCCATATAATATGATGCAATCTTTTAAGACCACATATACAAACAGTAGTATGCACTTTCTAAGGGTGCATAAACAGGCACATTAATGCATTGAAAAAGTCTTTAAATATACACTCATTAAAAATAGGTTTACTTCTTGAAAGATGAGGAAGAGTCCGGGACGAATAATTTAATTTTTTTAGGAGATTACATTTATTACTTGCATATGAAAGTGTTTCTAATTCCCAGACTTCATTAGATGCCATTAGACTTTTCTTCCTGGAAAAGACGTCTGTGTCCCCCTCAGTAAATGTGTTGCTTTAAGTGTATCTGACACGTTTACTGACTGCATACTCTGAACCACCTAGGCAACTAAGTTATTCAAGGAAGGAGTCCTTAGGCTATTTCTAAAAGGTCATAAGCCAGAAATTTTCTTTTCAACATACACTTTAAAAAGACACTTTGATGTAGTGACAAAGAAGCTAGGCTTAGAGTTATAAAGTTGTTGTCTTAAATTAAACTCTGCATGATGAACTGTAACTCTTTAACAAGTTACTTAATCCTCATTCTCCTCATCTGTAAAACATGGATGAGAATATCTTCTCCTACGTTTGCAGAGAAGATTAAAAAGAAATGTTTATAAATTAATTAGCACAGTACCTGGTACCTAACAAATGATGGTCATTTGTTTGAAATATTAATATGAAAGCAAGAATTTCATATAATTTCTTGCTAACAAAAAAGTATTAACAAAACTTTAAAAACACCTACTTTTAAAGAATAACATAAACTCAGACAATCTAAGTAAAGTAAACAGTGAAACTAGTAATTTGAAGTCCATCAGGTCTGTGCAAGTAAAAAATGAAAACTTCCATTAGTTTGGCAGAGAAACTTCCATTCTGATACATGCAAATTATGTATTTCTAATCTTTATTCCATTTTTTAAAAAAAGTTTTAATCATCTTACTTCACAGACTGAAAATGTTCATATTCAATTCATACACATTATTAGGCTGTACATCACTACTCTTCTTGAAGAATATGCTAAGTATCCAACTTATTAATATGCCAACACTGCTCAATGATGCTTTCCACAGTTAATTGGCTAAGAAATCTTATCCCCAAAACTGTAATGAAGAGGTTCACACTGAAGTTCACAGGAAAGCTTGGATAAAGATCTATAATTTTTTTTGAAACTATTTATTTTGAGTTGTTATCTCTATTTTGTTATGAAAATAGTCAGCATTTATATTTTACCTTATCATAACCCATTATAATTTATCACAAAGTAACTTCATCTTAGATCAGATATCCAAACAAATCATTTAATTCCATAGATAATGACTTAGCATCTAATATAGTCTAGGCTGAAAGATTAAAAATTCATTCCTAAAAAGGGGTAAGAAAGTAATTTTCTTATACATATTAAAAGCCAGATATGTTAGAGAAAAAGTCTACAGAATCAAATGAAGTTAACAGAATTTGCTAAAACTTTAACGTCAGTCTCCTGAAAATGTTTAAATTCTCCACTGAATCCTTTGATGTTAACCAACATTAATACCCCAACAATTTCTCTTATTTATTTATGTGATGTGTGTATGTATGCATGTGCACATGGGTGTTTGTGTGTATATCAATCACTTGCAATCTCCTCTGCAGGTGACATATCTGCTGCAAAACATATAAAGCAAAATCCTGTAAATTCAAGAAAATATGTTACCTGTGCCTCCTTTATAATTTTCTGTCACAAAACAAAAGAATTACAACAGGCACAGGAGGAGGTCTATTTCTTCAACAGCTATAATAGTTAACTGGTTCTTAATTATTCTCTCAAGTAGTTTTGTAATGTTACTTCAGCTAAAGAATACTTTTCAAAACTCAATTTTCATTGATTCTATTTCCTCAGTTCTTTCAAAGAGTGACGTCTAGTCTCAAATTTGATGTAGATTACCTTTTTGCTGCTAGTGGAGCTGAAAAAATTCAACAGAGCAACTCTTCGTTACATTTAGCGGCGTATATAAAGCAGAGCAAAGCTTCATCAATGAAACACCAGTAAGTCAAACAAAGCACGGCTGTGACTGTAGTCTGTCATCTTTGTAAGGAACCACAGTCTGCAATCACTGTAACATGGCTTACCTGTTCATTTTTGCAAAGCCACACACTGTTTCCACTTAACACAGTAAAAATTTTAGCTTTATAGCCTCTCAGTTCAAGATATCCACATTTCTCAGGTGCAATAGCAGCTTGAGACTGGGAAGAAAGGGCCTGTAACTTCAGTGCATTTAATAGTAGGCTGATCCAGTCATTTCTTTCCTCTGAAAATAAAAACAGGAGAAAATATACACCCATGCTTAATAAGTTATAAACATAAAGAAATATGGAACAAGACTGACTTTCTCTGGAACAGACCATTTACAGATCCTTCCCCAGAATCACAATCTAAATGCTACTGTTGGCAGGGCAACAGCCCAATTCTGTTAGGTTATTAGTAATTCCTTGGTATAACTCTGCAGATGCTCAAGTTCATAACAGGGAGCCCTGTGTATCCCCAAGTTCAGCAACTGCAGATTCCACCAACCAAGGATCAAAAACGTCCTCACTGTGGGACCCACGGTTACAGAGGGCCGGCTGAACTCAGTTGTCCTGTAACCAGCATCACCGGCTTCACCTGGAAATTGAATAGAAATGCAAAATCCTGGTCCTCCTCCAGAATGGATGAATCAGAATCTTCATTTAAAGATCTCCAGATGATGCATATACATGTTAACATCTAAGCGGCATTGTTAGATTACTCATGAAATTGGACTGTCTTTTTTAATATAAGAAAGTAATACGGCTACTGAACAGGTAACAGATTGTACCCAGCAATACAGTTACTAAAATATCCAGAAAAGCTTGCTTTCTAGCAGGCATTTGGAACCGACTCAAGAGTGCGCTTGCCTTGATATTCACTCACCCATACCTTTGACTAACAATAGCATCTCATCTGTTAAAACCTGTTCTCTCACTCCTTCCACAAAAACTACATGACCTTCAACTACAACACACTGTGTTACAGACATAGGAATTCAATCCAGTCCCCAAAGTGCAATCAAAGTTGTAAGTCAAGTTAGATATGAACACATAATAGAACACGGAATACTGTAAATGTCATACCAATGGTATCAAATAATATATGAATCAACTCAACGGAGGTGAGTGATTTGCTGAAGGTCATATAGCAAGTAGGTATTTAAATTAGGAGAATCAAATGTTTTAAGTCTCAGACAATTGTTCTTGACACTATGAGGGGAAAAAAAAAAAAAAGGATATTTGTGTGAGGTCTTGAGGATGAGGAGGAATTTAAAAAAAAAAACCTGGAGTTTGGAAGAAAAACAAGCAAAATAGTATTTTAAGCAGAGAAAACAATGAACATCTGCTCAGGGGATAATTTATAAATAAGTAAATTTATAATTTTGAACTCACAAAGAAGTGATGGGAAATATGGCTGGAGATCCTACAGTGCCTAGTGTAAGGAATTTGGTCTTTATTATGGAAGGGAAAGAAAACCATTTCCAAATTCTTAGCAAGAAAGGGACAAGATTAGGATGATGACAGACCAAAGTGGAAGGCAGGAGGTCAGGAATAAGGCAATAGAGACTTAAAGTACAATGAAAATGGAAAAAAACCAGCTGTGGTTCTGAATATGTTTGAGTTTGTTTGACAGGTGTTCATCAAAAAGTGAATTAATTACTCAGAATAAAAGGTAGTTTGGAACCATGAATCTACCAAAGAAAATGGAAGGTTCTATTAACAGAACCACCTGAGCATGAGCATCTAGGTAGATGGATAGCAATATGTGAATAAAGGCAATCCATACAAGAGAATCAGAGAAGGCAACGGCACGCCACTCCAGTTCTCTTGCCTGGAAAATCCCATGGATGGAGGAGCCTGGTGGGCTGCAGTCCATGGGGTTGCGAAGAGTTGGACTAGACTGAACGACTTCACCTTCACTTTTCACTTTCATGCATTAGAGAAGGAAATGCAACCCACTCCAGTGTTCTTGCCTGGAGAATCCCACGGACGGGGGAGCCTGGTGGGCGTCAGCACGTCTATGGGGTCGGACAGAGTCGGACACGACTGAAGTGACTTAGCAGCAGCAGCAGCATACAAGAGAATACTCATGAATGTGGATAAATGTTTAATGTAAAAGGAGAAGAAATGGTATACATTTGAAGTATAACTGATTCTAGGAGGCTGGAAAATGGGCCGGGGGTGGGGGGTGGGGAGACAAATGTGAAAGTGGTTTTATCAAGGTGAAAAGGAAAAAAAAAAAAAAAAACAGACTGAATTTCAGGTAGGAAAAATTTTTGAGAAGGAAAGAGTAAGGTGGACCCAAGTTTGGGAAACTGCCTGGTATCTCAGATCCTTTTAAGACACGTCTGGTGAGAGGTAATGTCATTGTAGATTGAAATTAAGTCTCCACACTAGACCTACTTACATTTCAACATGGAACCCCAGTTACTTTATAATACAACTCTTAATTTTTAAAGTATCTTCATTCTTGCTCACCTTCAAAACTACCAAAGCTATTTAGGTGTGTCTTTAATGACCAAGGCCAAAGTATTTATTAAAAACTCATTTAATGATATTTTATTGCAGGTATTACATAACCCCCAATAACAGTGCTTATTCCTATATATCAGGACAAAATATCTCTCAAGTTTCTCCAGCATCATTATAAAGTAAAAGACAGGAAAATATTCAGGAAACTAAGCCCATGTCAATCCAGAGTAGCTACTCTACATTTTCTTATTGTTTAGTCACTAAATTGTGCCCAACATTTTGGGACCCCATGGAATGAAGCCCGACAGGCTCCTCTTGTCTATGGGGTTTCCCAGACAAGATACTGGAGTGGGTTGCCATTTTCTTCTCCAGAGGAGCTTCCCAACCCAGGGATTGAACCCACGTCTCCTACGCTGGCAGGAGAATTCTTCAACACTGAGCCACTTCGGAAGCCCTGCTCTACATTTTACATCTGCACAGACAGACTGCTCTGGGATACTGTATTACATTTTCAGTAACAGCAACACACTTTCCACTTGGTGATTATTCGTGATCATTAGGTACACACAGATACTCCTGCCAAGTAAATGGTATACAATGTTTTCTGTTTATTTATGTTAATCCATACAAATCACTGACTGAAATGTAGGCCATGATTTAAAGAACTGGGCCAAAGTGATTTTGGCTTTCAGACTACTATTAGCAGATATCTCAGTTTATCAGGGAACAATTTGAAATTGACAATTGTATTAACTGTTAGTCTTAAGTATATTATGACTCCATCTCAACAAATGGTGCCCTCATAGCCTAGAAGAATCCTCTAGCTCCTGAGGTTCTCACTTGCTAATAGAAAGTAACAATCATGAAGAACAGGATTGAATACTAATGTGCAGTTTATACTTCATAACCCATGCCAAAGGAGATAAACAGTGAGACAGACAATTCAAACACAATAAAAGAGATTACAAGTGTCATTGGTATTTGCAAAGTGTGCATACTTGGACATGGGGAATATGCTTTGATAAGTTACAACATCCCAAAACAAATAATGATTTCCCCTTGGGCACAGGCAAAGCTGTATACTGTGCTGGATTCTGCCTGCTATTCACACCAAGGTACCTTTATTCTGTCCAAAAACAAATGTTTATTGAGTGTCTATCTTGATCTTATTAGCACTGTGCTAAGCATCATTCCCTCTGAGAATATGCTCTGACTGGGGCATGGCTTTGCTCTGAATAGAGCATTTCAGGTTGGAAAAAGAAAATAAATAAATAAATAAAAAGGACAGAGAAAACAAAATTGCCACTTTCTTGTGATTATGCTAGAATGTAAATAAAAACCATTAGCGATCCCCTCAAACCTCAAGCTAGTTAAGGTCTGTTGGAATGTCAACTCAAAGTACACAAATAAAAAGGTTAAAAAAATCAACAGAGGATACTTAACATCCTCTACATTCTACTGGATTTAGCAGTAGAGACATTCATTAGCAAAATAAGATTAATTACATGAGGGATTGCTACACAAGGGCCATGTAAAACATGAATAAAAGAATCTAACAAAATTCATATGTACTCTTAAAGTTTGATATAATCTAAAGATTCCTCAGTGTGACCCACGATCAATATTAGAGAAGGAATTATTACACACTATGGTTATTCTTATAATGGATAATGGTTCATTCATACGAATGTCAACTTAGCTCCAGCTATGTTCTAAGCCCTATTCTGAATACCAGGAATGAAGCAGTGAACAAGACAGCTCCTGGCCTTAATCTCCAGAAGTTTACATTCTTGTAAAAGAAGGCAGGCAATAAAGCATATATATCACACACTGGCAATGCAATGGGATAAAATACAGCACAGGAAGAAGGGTGCAGAAAGTATTATTTTATATAGGATAACAGAAAAAAGCTCAGGAAGAAGGTGATGATTTTGCAAAAGCCTGAAGGAAGTGGAAGTGAGCAAGGGGGAGGATGACTGGAGGAGTGTTCTAGGACACAGAAAGCGGAAAGTGCCAAGGCAACCACAGGTCTGGCGTGTTCACAGGCCCAGAGGCCCCCGTAGTTGCTGCAGGGTGCGTGAGGGTGAGCGGAGAGGAAAGAAAGACAGGTGAGACCCTGCATGGGCGTCTGGACCTCACAGAGACCACTCTCGGCGAGCTAGAAAGAGAGCATGTGAAGTGGCAGACAGGACCTGACTTTCTTGCTGGAGGCGCTCTCTGACAACCGTAATGAGAACATACTGCTGTTGATCATGGGAGGTTATGACCGTCATCCCAAAAAAAGGAGGTTTGTGGGAGAGTGAGAACAGTGGAGGCGCTGAGAACCGGTTGGAGCCCAGGCGTATTTCCAAAGTCACGCTGGTAAGATTTGCTGAATCGGGCCTGGATGGAGACAAGGTAGGAAAAGGTTCCACAGGGACCCCAAAGTTTGAGGTCTGTTATATTATGACAGGCAATCAAAACACACCAAAGAGAACTTTCACTCCTCTAGTTCTTCCTCCAGATGACAAACGCGCCATGCCTTGCTTCTGAGAACAAGGAAGATTTCAAAACAGGTAAGTCTGTTTGCCCAAAACAGGTAAGGAAAATTTATATGCTTCTCATCCCAAACTCCCCAGTGTTCTTCAAAAAAAAAAAAAAAAAGTTTAGTTTTGCAGTTTCACAGCTGCCACTAGAGGGCTGTATGATGCTGCACAGAAACTGAATTAAGAGACTGACTCACTTGCCTCCCAGGAGTCCAAAGCCGCTAAGGTGGACACCTACCGTGGAATCTGCAAGTCAGGGGCGGTACTGAAAATGGTCCTTGAAAGGGAATGACTGCTCAGAATTTTTTTTTTTTATTGAAGTATAGTTGATTTACAATGCTGTGCTGATTTCTGCTGTGCAACAAAATGATTCAGTTATACATATATACACATTCAATTTTAAAATATTCTCTTCCATTGCGGTCTATTCCAGGAGACCGGATATAGTTCCCTGTGCTATATAGGATTTTATTATTTATCCAGTCTAAATGTAATAGTTTGCATCTGCCAACCCCAAACTCCCAGTCTATTCCTCACCCTCTCTAACCCTTGGCAACCACAAGTCTGATCTCTACATCTGAGTCTACTGATGTTTTGTAGACAAGTTCATTTGCACCGTATTTTAGATTCCACATATAAGTGACATATTGTATTTGTCTTTCTCTTTCTGACTTTTGTCACTTAGCATGATAGTCTCAAGTTGCATCCATGCTGCTGCAAATAGCATTATTTCAATTATTTTACAGCTGAGTTGTATTCCACTGTATATATGCACCACATCTTCTTCACCCATTCATTTGTTGATAACCATTTAGATTGTTTCCATGCTTCAACTATTGTGACTAGTGCTGCTATGAACACTGGGATGCATGTATCTGTTTGAATCATAGATTTGTCCAGGTATATTCCCAGAAGTGGGATTGCTGGGTCATATGGTAGTTCTAGTTTTCTGAGAAACATCCATACTGCTTTCCAAAGTGGCTGCACCAATGTCCATTCCCACCAACACTGTAGAAGGGTTCCCTTTTCTCCACATCCTCTCCGGCATTTGTTATTTGTAGAATTTTTAATGGTGGCTCTTCTGATGGGTGTGAGGTGGTGTCTCATTGTAGTTTTGATTTGCATTTCTCTAATAATTAGTGATGTTGAACATCTTTTCATGTGCCTCCTGGCCATCTGTATGTCTTCTCTGGAGAAATGTCTATTAAGGTCTTCTGCTCATTTTTCGAGTGGGTTTTTTGTTGTTAAAGTTGTATGAGCTGTTTGTGTATTTTGGAGATTGAGCCTTTGTCAGTCAGATCATTTGCAAATACTTCCTCCCATTCATAGGTCTTTTTTTCTTTTTTTAATGGTTTCCTATACTATGCAAAAGCCTGTAAATTGGATTAGGTTCCATTTGTTTATTTTTGCTTTTATTTCTGTTTCCCTGAGAAACTAACCTAAGAAAGCACTGGTATGATTTATTTCTGAGAAAGTTTTGCTGATGTTCTCCTCTAGGAGTTTTATGGTGTCATGTCTTATGTTTAAGTCTTTAAGCCATTTTGAGTTTATTTTTGGACCACTCAGAATTCTTAAGCTTTCTTCTAATTATGAGAACTACCCACTGAAAACATCCCCTGTTTCCTAAAGTAACACAACACCTGTGTTACCACAGGTGTCAAGGGAATGCGTGTTAACTGAAGGATCATTAGCTGTTACAATCCTCTGAGCAATTCCAGTAGTTCTGCTTGAGGAGGAAAGGAATCAGACTAAATTTTCTAGGTTGAGGAAGAGAATTCAAGACGTTATAATTTCAATAAAATTAACTTGCAGCTAAGAAAATAACATTTCACTAGGAAACCCAGGGGAACTGAAACCTTAGAAAATCTGTGGGGAAAAGCTGCCAAACTGTAATCTTCTCTTAGCAATGCCAGTGGGTGATGCGGGAGTGTAGAAATTCTGACACTGGTTTCCGGGCAGATGAAGGGAGCTGTGTATACAGGTCACTCGGAATCTTTCCACCAACAGTAAAGAATTCATCTCTGTTGGATGTGAAACTACTGCCCCTTTCTGTCCTAAACTTTGATTTTGCTTCTTAATAAGACTGAAGCAAAGTTTTCCATAAGCAACTATGACTGATTTCTCAGTTTCCACCAAATAAAAACTAATCAAGCATTTGTATACATGGAAGGAGGACAAGACAAACACTTAATAAAAACACAAGCAGCATCTTGCTGAAGGTTCCCTAATAAATATATAGACACATGTGCCATTGACATATGTATATATCTATCTACACTTATCTTTAAAAAACATGAGCTGTTACTATGTAAAAACAACTTTCAATGAAAATAACATAGTAATTCTATATGGATAGTCTGTTTTCACTGAAGCAGTATTTTCATGGTTTTAAAAATTAAAGACGTAAGCCTTATTCAACACACAAAACTTCATACTAAAGTTCATGAAATTTTTATACTAAGCTTACATCATAAAGATGAACTCCATACCATAGAGGGATTTATTGGTCCATTGTAAACATGTAACTTTTAAACACGTGTGGGTTGATCCATTTTATTTCAATAAAATGTGTCTGTTTAATTTTTAACTGCCAGAAGTAAATATGGCTAAACAGATTTTCACACAAGTTGCAGCTTTATTTAGTACATCTATCTTAAAATGCAGACTCTGTGGCATATGTGAATTTTACTATGAAAGGCCAAGGGGAAGAGGATAAGCACCTCAAAGAAATAAGCATTTGGCTCGGCCAGTGGAGGCCAGAACATAAGGATAGACCATTCTGATAGCCAGTTGACAGGAGCAATGTCGTGTGTTTTAAGAAAATACAGAAACTGTGATATCAAATATATTTCTCTTATTGAGTATCACAACTATGGAAGACTTTCTGAATTTCAAGCAATGAGTCACAATACATATGTCTGTATCAAATACTCTAGGACAGGGGTTGGCAAACTTTCAGTGAAGGGTCAGAGAGTAATTTCCTAGGCTTTCCTGGCCAGACAGTCTGCAGCAATTCCACAACACGACGCCGCGGCACAGAAGGAGCCACAGGCAACATGTAAGTGAACGAGCGAGTCCGGGGACTAGGAAGGCAGTATTCACAAAAACAAGCAGTGGGCCAGATTTAGGTTACAGGCCAGTTGGCCAGCCTCGGCTCTAGGCGATGGTTCGTGACACTTTTTTTTAAAGAGCAGGTCAAGTGAGAAACACTTTTTACATTACACCTGGGCAGCATATACAATACACAGTATGATACGTGCATTCACGTATGTTTCACAGTATGATGCGCTTGCTGTAGGCACTGCACTTTGATACTCCTTATTCTATTTTATGTTTGTTTGGTTTTTGTTTTGGGGGCTTTGGGGGACACCATCTGAAACCACTAAGTTGATCTCATACATGGATAGTGAGTGACTCACAGTCTGAAAACATGTGGCTCCAGGGTGAACAGCATTGGGACTTATCCATTTACTGACTATCTCAAGTAATAATGGAAGCTTTTCAGTGACGTATAATATTTACTGAATGTGTTCTATATGTCATGCATTGACATATATTCAAGGAATTTATAAAAGAGAAATATTGCCCCATAATAGCTAGTATTGTTGTTTATGTATAAAATGTATAAAATAGGATTCTAACTGTAATACCTATGAACCTCGTAAGAGTATTTTGAAAATGAAGCTTTTAGCGATACCAGATATTCAGTCATTTTTCCAGGTCACCAATATTCAAATAGTTACGTACCAAGAAGTACTTTTAAAAATCAAGTTATTATCTATATTAAAATGAAAAAAGGCTTTAAAATCTAATGCTTTAGGTAAGGAAGATGGCCTTATCCATATTATTTAAGAGCAGTGAGGTTTATAGTACTGATATATTGACAGTCAAAGTTACAACAGAGAACTTTTAACTCCCCTATCTCTACCTCTCCTGCACGCTTCCAAAAAAGATAAGATACAAAGGTTTAGAATCCATCCACAAACCACATGTCATTTTTAGATCAATTTTAGCCATCAACTGACCCACAGGATGATACAAGGTGGAAAAAAAAACAAAAACAAAACTCAAGGAATAGCAAAGACGCTCCAAAATCTGTATTAGAATGATTACTATGCCTGCATGTTCAGTTAAAATCAGCCACAGATAAACTTTGTAAAACCAATCTTTCAATTGTTATTTTCCACATTAAATAACTACTTTGCATTATCAACAGCTAAAAGTGAGCTCCACAAGAGCAGAGATTTTTGTCTACTTTTTTTCATTGCTATATACCCCAAATTTCGAAGACTCCTTGGCACTCAGTAGATTTGCCCTAAATATTTGTTGCACTGTTCTTTCGAACAGTGAACAAACAACACTGACTTGTCATCTTGTTTATGCTTTGATATTACGGCATTCAAAAACTAGTAGACAAGGCAAATTATTTAAAAGTAACATATTTAAAGATTACCTGCCATTTCTAGCATGTTTGTTAAACTTCTGACCAGGAAGAAATTCATGTGAACATTTTTATAAGGATAAAGAAAGACTCTTACCTTCTTTTTCTACTCTAAAAACAAAAGTTCTTTGTGTTGTAACAACTTCAAATTTGTTGTCTCCTTGAACTCGTACCGTAGATATAGCAGAAAGAGGGATTATTCCTTTTGAATACTTTTCCTGTATTGGTTAGAGGAAAAGACACACAGAGAAGATACATTAAAATTCCCTTGATCAAAAATAGAATGGCATGGTATTTATAAGTGCTCCTTTCATAATCTCAATCTAAATTTTTAAAACTCACATACAAACAGCATATAGCCTCATATACACTTAATACCACAGAAAGGAAAATATTAAGTATCTCTTCCAAGTGAGATGTCTTTTCAGTTTTCTCTTCATCTGCAATTAGGCAATGAATCACATCACAAACAATCGTACTAGAATAGCAATACACCGTTCTGAAAAACAGCAGTATGTTCTTTGAAGAGTCTGGTCAAAATGATTTTAAGGTGTTTGCAGGCATCTGCTGGCCATTACAGGTACTGTAACTGAACCATTTCAAAACCACTTGATACACACTGTGAGCAAAAATATTATCCAACAAACCAGACTATTGGATTCTATCAATTAACCCTAGTATTCAATACTCTGATGACAAAGATGTTAATCTCACACTGCATCACTTTTCAGTCTCCAGGGGCTAAAGAATAAAAAGATACGGATTCAGCTGTTTGCAATAGGTATATACACATTACAATTTTGAAGGTCATTCCTAAGACTCTCAATGACTTTCTCAGTCTGTGCTTTCCTGGACTATCCTAAACCATTTGGCATAATAATCACCCCACAATTTCAACTACTTCCCAACAATGTAATATTGACTGGGCCCTGTGTTGGAAAGAAAAATTCAGGGTACTTGTACATTCACATTCATATAGCCGCAAAATGAAAAACAAGGATGAGAATTCTCAGTTCTACTTACAAGAAGTCAGACATATTTTCACAGAAATAGTGACATTTGAACCTGACATTAAGAAACCATAGTTAACCAGATAAGTGAGGAGGTGGGGTGGGGGTTGGAAGGATCCTGGCTGGAAAGATTGAGTAATAGAGGTGTCAAGTGGAGAAGTAAGAAGGGCTGCAGTGTGGAGTCAAAGAGATGAAGCTGAAAACATCCATCAAGGCCACATTATGAAAGGTTTTGAGTATCAAAAGAATCTGGACAAAGATGAGGCTGAAAATATAAATCAAGGTCACATTACAAAATGTCTTGAATGTCAAGACAGTTTGGACACAGCTTAATAAGGTTTCTTCTACAATTCTCTTCCAGCATCCATAGAACCATTACTTTTGAGTCAAGTCCCAAGGATCTGAAACAACTGGTTAGGAAAAGAATGTACTAAGTCATTCCACGCAGAGCACAAGTGTCATGTTCATATTCCTCCCAGCAGCAAACTCCAGCCATACACAGCAGATGGGTAAAAGACAGCTGCTATGAGCAGTAAGGCGGGTCTACTGGGTTTCTCCTCTGCCAGTTAAGGACATACATTATATTCTCATGGTATTCCCTCTGAGTTATTTGACAGTTTCCTCTTCTCCGCTGTCTTCCTCTATCCCCGATCCCGGACTTCACGTATCCATCAAAACCCTATGCATCTTTAATGCCATCTTCAATAACAATGCCTTGAAAATGTCCCTTTGTCCTCTCAAGCAGCCAAAGTCAACTAAGATATCTGAACTGTGATTTAGGAATATGAGGCGATAACTTCCTAGAAAAAGGAGAGGGATGTCAAGGAATAAGTACTTACAGAATAAATTTTTCTTCTCCTTATTTTTCATTTTTGGGGTTTTAGCTTCTCTTCCTAAGGGAAAAAAATCCCTTCCTACTATTTCAACTACCAATTTTATGGGGAGAATTCTAAAATCTGTCTTCCTCTATTCCTTGTCTATTTCTGTTCATTCCACTTCCATATTTTTGCATCATCCATGGTACATCTAACTGTTCCATAAGCACCTCAAACTCTAAAACTGAATTATCTCCATAGATATTGGTCTATTAAGATACCACTTCTTGGTCAATCAGTCTTCACCAGAATAGCCTTTGACCTGGGCAGCTCTTCTGCACGCACATGACTTGAGACTCCCCTACAATGTCAACTTGCTCCCCGCCACTTCCCGATTCTTTCCAGTCACATGAGCCTTCTTGAAGCTCCCTGACACATCATGGTTCTGCTCAATCCAGTGACCCTGCAAGGCACCATTTTACATATCCATCTTCACATACTTACTGCTTCCATTTCTTTTCCTGTTTCAGCATATATATTCCTGAAAAATGTCCTCCAACTCGGCTTTTCTCTCAGGCCCCTCATCCTGACCCAGGAAGAAAACCTTAATTTAATAGGAACCTGTGCTCCTCTATAACAATTACTAACTCTAACTTAAATGATAATCTTTATATTTACTTGTGACCATCTGATTAATACAATCTTTCTAAACTGACTGTGCATCATAGTTCTATTTCCTTCATCACCTTTCACATAATCAATTCAGTTCAGTCGCTCAGTTGTGTCAGACTCTCTGTGACCCCATGAACTGCAGCATGTCAGGCCTCCCCGTCCATCACCAACTCCCAGAGTCCACCCAAACCCATGTCCATTGAGTCGGTGATGCCATCCAACCATCTCATCCTCTGTCGTCTCCTTCTCCTCCTGCCCTCAATCTGTCCCAGCATCAGGGTCTTTTCCAATGAGTCTGCTCTTCGCATCAGGTGGTCAAAGTATTGGAGTTTCAGCTTCAACATCAGTCCTTCCAATGAACACCCAGGACTGATCTCCTTTAGGATGGATCAGTATTGTATATTTTCTGAATGAATGAATCATATGCCCAATCAATCACAATTATACAAACTGAAAGCTCATTTTTAGTATTTTTCTAAATTTATTTTTTTAACACTTCCACTGGCCTATACAGCCTACATCCTGATAAATTAATGCCTGATTTACTTCACACTCTCCTGATTAGCTTCCCTACTTTCAGCTAGTGTTCCTTCTCACTTTCCCTGCATATTACTGTTCAAATGCCACAGCTGGAGAGAATAAAGGAAAGATTCATAAAGAAGACCAAGATGGGCCTTGAAGTTTGCAAAGGATTTTCATGGACTGTAAAGTCTAGTGGATTCAGAGGGAAGAGCAAAACCACAGAAGTGAGACTACAGGAAAAGATATGCCCAAGTTTTCCGCAGTTGTACCCTGATACTGTTGAAAAAAGTCCCTGCAAAGACAGACACGACATGACTGGTTTAGCAAAGAAAAATCCAATAAATACAGGCAGGTACCAATCAGTACTGGACTACTAAGGGCTCTGGGAATTGACAGGAGGAGAGACTGTCTCTCCATTGTCAGGCAGCCTGAGAGATGTGAAGGGGCCCGGCACCCTTGGAACAGCGGAAGGTTCTATCTGACTGTAAGTTTGTACTTGCTCAGACCAGATAATGAAAAATTCAGAGTATTCAAAAGCATTTATCACTTCTACGTGGTCCATTCTCAAGTGGCAGTTTGCCTAAGAATTAGAGGAGTTTATAAAAGTATATCTCTAATGGGATAATTAATTATTTGTTGAATAAAATTTTACCATTAGCCCATTTTTCAGTAGAGAAAAGTCAAGCAGCATTGTGGGGAAAGACACAGGAATTTTAAAAAGGAGATTTTCCTTCCACTAAATCTTTTTAGAGAATTTTTTTTAAGTCCTTAAAAACATAATAACTCACCCACATATCTACAATAATGTTGTTTAACAGGTCAGTACTTATGGAAGAATAATAGAAAAATGAATCCCCCAGAAGTGATCAAAATGTACTTAAGAAGCAAAGTACTATGTCACTTGAACTTTAGGAAGCTGCAATTTCTCTAAAGGCTCATTTATAATCTATTATGAATTATCAAGGTCAATTTCAAAATTTGTTAACACTGTAGAGGTGACTTTACATTTCTCTCCCAGCACACGATGAAGACAATGCAGAGGGGGAAAAAAGGAAACTCAATGACACCAGGCTCAAAATGACTGCATTTTTCAGAGTGGAAAATTTTCCTGAAGGAAAGAAATTCTAAAGCATCCCCGGAGCCTATAACACACAGGTATTTAGGTCAAGTTTGTCATTTATCTACCACTTGCAGACAATGAAAGGACCACGGGGCAATTCTGCCCACAGCTGAGTGAGTAGGGGGTGAGTCAGATCTCTTGGCAGGTGACAAGATATCAAACCTGCTGGGATGATGCCATTTTCAGCAATACAATTGAAAAGGCCTTGCTGAGACATAATTGAGTGGCACTGAGAAAAGCAGAAGAAAACGAAGGGAATAGGCAACTCTGCAAACTTCCTCCGGAAAGCCCAGCCTCATGCCCTCAAATGTATATTTAAACCCTGGAAAGGGCTCCCCCGCTGACTCAGAGGTGTAAGAATCTGCCTGCCAATGCAGGAGACACGGATTCGATTGCCAGGCCCAGGAAGATCTCACACGTCACAGAGCAACGAAGTTCGTGTGCCGCAACTACCGGCCCTGTGCCCGAGAGCCCCGCAGCCGCAACGAGTGAGCCCAAGGGCCACAGCTCCCGACGCCCGCACGCCCGTGCCCTACAACGCGAGGAGCTACCGCAGGGAGAAGCCCGCACACGGCAACCAACACCCACTACAGCGAAAAACCAGCTTCTTAAAGAGCACCGAAAGCCCCAACTCATAGGTGCTCAGGACCACGAAAACTCCACAGCCCGCTGAGGTGGCAGCTATGGCCCCACCTGTGCCCTCTTTTCACTGGCCTTACAATCCTCTCTTCCCAGTCCACCGATCCAGCCCTTCAGCCAGCAGCGTCACAACCGAAACCACATCTCCTTTTAGCAAACACCTAATCTAGTGGTCTTGGGCTTCTTTTGCCAACATGACACCAATCATCTGAATAGTAAAAGAACAAAATGCCACAGGAAACAATTATTGATGGTTTATAGGGATCCCTGCAAAGTAAAACCAATGAACACTGCTCTAAACTTTCTACTATCCTTTGTGTCTTAGCAGGCAGTGTGTGTTGCTTTCTTTCTAAAAGCTTATGCTCTTCGTCCTGCAGCACTAAAGAATGGATATATGAAAAGGAATCTACCTCAATGTTCAAGCCAGAAATAACACCAATATAAGGCAGTGAAACATCTCCAGTGAGAAGATGATGTTAGATTATAAACTTTAAATAAGAGAATGTCATTAACTGTTGTTTGTATATGAAAAGAATGTACAGTTAACATTTTAAAATTGTATGATTTTGACTAACAAAAAATCAGGTATATTTATTAGTACCAACTTTTTATTTAAGGAAATTTTCAAACACACAGAAGTTGAAAGATTAGTACAATGAACATTCATAACCTCTACCTCAATTTGACATTTGTTAACATTGCAACTTTTTTGTTTTACCTAACTATGCATGTGTGCATATACATATATAATATATAAGCATGAAGTGACGTCACTCAATCGTGTCTGACTCTTTGTGACCCCATGGACTGTAGCCTACCACGCTCCTCCATCTGTGGGATTCTCCAGGCAAGAATACTGGAGTGGGCTGCCATATCCTTATATATAAAGTATATATAGGGAGGTAAATTTGAGACATTTGTAGGTTTCATGACACTTCACTCCAAAATATCTCAGTCTACAGCTCTTAAGAATAAAGACATTCTCATACCTAATGAAGAAGCACCTGATGAAAACAGTATATGTCATTAAGATTCAACTGCTTAAAGGATACATTTTAGGCCCTTGCACTTTAAAATTTTCAATGAGCTGGAACTCCAAACCCAACCTTCTTAGCTTCATCAATCATGAGTCTCCCTCACATACACTATTTTCCCATCAAAGAATCTGAGCATCTCATTCTATCAGCTATCAAGTCCTGTTATTTCTGTTTACTCCATGTACAAACTCCTCTTTCTTCAAAACTCATGGCCACCTGAAATCTTGTGCAAGAAGCATCTCTTGGTTCTTTCACAGCCCTTCTAGAGAACAAAATAACTTCTCCTTTGTGTTATTGTTTTCTAAACATTCTTAGTGCTACCTAGGGTAAAGGCAATTTCTTATATATCTGTATGTCATCTATAGCAATTCCAGTAGTTTGCAGGAGATTCTCCACAAATAATTGTTAGATACATAAGTTTTTAAAAATCTCAATTTTATGCACCATGAAAAAGTTAACCTATGAAAAGAGTTAAGTGTTATACCCTATGCAAATTTGTTTCATCTTGATAATCCAACACCTAAAGACCAAATCATGTGCTTAATTTATTGAAATAGATTCAGCACACACGGGACAATCTTTTAAAACTGTAAAACATACTTACCTTATCATTATTATAATAAGAAATGCTAAGGCCATCAAATTTCACCCATCTCTTCTGAAACATGCGTTTTCTGTAAAACATGAAATTGTCATTTCACATTTTAAGAACCATGAACTTGGATTTTAAATGCATTTGTAAGATAACTCTGTTCAATACATTCCCATTTGCTGTTAAAACAGTCAGGAAAACAATAGGCTGTGATGACGCAGTTTAGGCAATGGTACAAAGCAAAGAAAATACATACAATGATACTTTCTAATCAGCCAACCTAGGTGTTTTTAGAAAGGATAACTTCTAACAGTGTCATCATTTTTTAAACTGTAACTTACAGTGGCATCTCCACACCTGTAAGGTTGAGTGGAAAACAAAGTGTGGACAAAAACACTATCGTCATATACCCATCAACGCCCATATCCTTTAAAGCGATAATCCCTTCATGAAAGTATTAATAATAAAAATTTTTATCTTTCATTAAGATTATAACATTTCATCTTAGTTTTTAAATCTCCGCTTTGGAGCATTAATAATGTTTTGCTAAAATAACAAAGCTTTGTCAATTGGATTTACATAGATATATTTAATTCTGATCAAATAAGCTGAAAAGGCCCTGTCTAAATATAGAGAATCATTTGCAATCATCCAAAATTCACTGAAACATTAACATTTTGAGAAAAAAAACCATATGAAAGGCAAATGCACTTTAAAATGGTTGTTGACTCGAGAAGCAAAGCAAAATAACGTCATCATATGTTCTCTATTTAGGCAGCAAGGAGAAAAATGATCATCCTGACTACATAAGGGAAAACGGAAGACCCACATCTACTTGGGCCTGTTTTCGTTTCCCAGTTCCTTTCACCAGCCAGTCCTGAAGGTTCTGACTGTCTATTCTCTACATGACTCAGCGTGAACTGACACAATCGAGATACCTTTGGCCTTTATCACACATAATACACAAAAACGAACTTCCTATTTTAAAAGTCATCTCTAAACTAAGCAGATAACCAGGTCTACCTTTTCCTTTTGCAGTTTTCTAACACACTGAAGTTAAGGAAACTGTAGAACTTTCTGTGGTTTTCAGAAGACTTAAAGACAGAAAAAGCACTTCAGAAAGCATGGAGAACTTGTCTTCCCGGCTACTTCCTGAGCCCACACACTTGTTACTCTAATGAAATACAGCAAACCGCCCACGTTGATCACTAGCCAAATTATTCTCCTTAGATAAAATTAGAGCAAATTGATCTGAGAAAAGTTTCAAAATCCATCGGTGTGGACCACATTGTCACATATAAGCACTCAGTTAATCACGAAGTAGTAAGCCTATGATAAGACCTTAAAATTATATAACCACAACCAACTACCTTGTTCTTTCCAGCTTATTCCCTCAAACTTCTGCTTCTTTTTAACTTCTCTTGGTCCGTCATGTGCTCTCTTAACCTTGCAACATCCAACAGTGTTGGTTTTTACTTTCTTCACAGACCCAAGGGTTCTTCAAATTGCCAGCATTAAGATTTACAAGATAAAGAAATACTAAGCAAATACACAATAATTATACATTGAATAAAATCACTTAGCTCATTTCATGTTGATCTGTCACACTTAAAGGCAGGTAACTAGACATCCTCCCTCCCACACAATCTCAACACTAATTCAAGAAATCAAGATTTTGTGTCAGGCGTCTGCCTACCTTACATGCTGAATAGTAGTAAACTAGAGTTCAGTAGTGCATATAATCTCCCATTTTAGAATAAAAATAATCAACACCTGTAGGAGATAAAGGCCGTAGGACCTTCCATTACCCCTCTAATTCCTTGGCTAACTATTCCTTATCTTTCAGAGTTCCACTTAACCACCTACACAGACATTCCTACCCTGACCAATCAATCCAAAGCAAATCACAAAGTTATTCTCTGAAAGCACCCTCTCCTTTTCCTCATACCACTTAACACAGTCTGTGGTTATGTTTGTTGAGTTGCTTAATGTCCTTATGCTTTACAAGGACAAAGTCCAAGGATATTTCATTCTCTACTATATGATCAGCAACTAACACAGAGACAAATATGGCNGCCTAGATGTCCATCGGCCAACGAATAGATAAGAAAGCTGTGGTACATATGCACAGTGAAATATTACTCAGCCATTGAAAAGAATACATTTGAATCAGTTCTAATGAGGTGGGTGAAACTGGAGCCTATTATACAGAGTGAAGTAAGTCAGAAAGAAAAACATCAATACAATATACTAACGCATATATATATGGAATTTAAAAAGATGGTAACAATAACCCTATACGCAAGACAGAAAAAGAGACACAGATGTATAGAACAGACTTTTGGACTCTGTGGGAGAAGGCAAGGGGGGGATGATGTCAGAGAATAGCATTGAAACATGTATATTATCAAGTGTGAAACAGACAGCCAGTCCAGGTTGGATGCATGAGAAAAGTGCTCGGGGGTGGTGCACTGGGAAGACCCAGAGGGATCGGGTGGGGAGCGAGGTGGGAGGGGGGTTCAGGATGGCTGAACCATGTAAATTCATGGCTGATTCATGTCAATGTATGGCAAAAACCACTACAATATTGTAAAATAATTAGCCTCCAACTAATATAAATAAATGAAAATAAATAAATAAAAAGTTTAGAACCTACTTTAACCTGTCTTACTTAAGATTGTTTAGCTGTAGTCACTTGGACTTTAAGTTTTCTTAGAATTCCATTCGCATCTGGACAGTCTGAGGTCTGAGGCATCATCCAGGAAAACGAGCGGGTGAAGAGGGAAGGCGGACAGCTCAGAGATGCTGCCACAGGCCGAGCTACATTTCTCCTCTTAGGCGCTGACTACAGAGAACGCACTTGATACTCGGCTTTCTGAGGAAAGTCTCTGAAGAAAGTCAACCAAAACTCAGCCTCGGAGAGACTCAACTCCTAAGATACTCCAACCGTTTTGATTTTCTCAACTACCAGGTGACTACTGCATGTGATCAGCCACTTCAATCCCATATTTTTGTTTACCTTTTTATTTTGTATCAGGGTATAGCTGATTGACAATGTTATGGTAGTTTTGCAAAGGGACTCAGCCATACATATACATGTAACCGTTCTCCCCCAAACTCCCCTCCCATCCAGGCCGCCACATAGCATCCAGCAGTGCCATGTGCTGCGCACACCTGGTCCCTGTTGGTTATCCCTTTCAAATGCAGCAGTGCGAACAAGTCCATTTCAAACTCCCTAACTATGCCTTCCTCCCACTAGCCATAAGTTCACAAAACATGTATTTTTAATCTACATAAACGGCATGGTGCTATAGATCTCACTGGTTCTCACTTTTTTTTCACTTAGCACTGTTTTTAAGATGCTGTGAGATGTGTATCCAAAGGATTAGATATGTCTCTAGTCCTTTGCTTCTAATTGCTGCTGTGCCACAGTATAAATCTCTTATATTTTAAAGGTTAAGTCTAATAATCTACGGAAGATCAGGTAAATAAGACAAAAGCCCAGCCCACAACGAAATGGAATGAAAGTGTGGCAGCTGAAAAGTCAACTGTCCCATAGTTGAAGAGAGCCACTTTGCAATCCTACCATTAAAACATTACTTCTGCTATCATTCATTCATCCAGCCAGGCATCAAATCTGTGGAGACCTATTCTGTGGACACTGTCCTCCAACCACACTGCCTCCTCTCTCTAGATTCTTTTTTGCCTTGCGGCCTTCCCATATGCCAAGAAAATGCTGCCTGATCCTCACACGGCTGGCTTGTCCTTGAGATCTCAGCTCAAAAGTCATTCGCCTAAGTGGCCACCATTAAGTAACACAAATCCTTCAGGTTCCTTTGGTCTCTTGCTTCATTTCTTTACTTAATGACACTTAGGAGAATTTTCAATTATATATTTGCTTTGTGTCCTCCATCTCCCATACTATTCAATAGATACTGAGATTCTTGAGCACAGAAACCATGTCTTTTTAATCAATGTAAAACCAGCGACTACCAGTTTCTAGCATATAAAATATGCTCAATATCTAGTGCATATAACAAATAAATGTATTTCTCATTGTAAGATGCTTCCTCAAATTCTCATTTTATGGATACAGAAAATAAATTACTAACTAAACCACTTTACCCTTAATTTCCTTTTTTGTTCTTTTCAAATACTAAAGATCAGATTTCTACGACAAAAACTTTGTAATTCATCAGTATTTCCATGTAATTTTAAAATACATTTCACAGTTACATCTTTTTAAAATATATTCTTTAAGATATGTGCATTTTTATCTTCCTATTTAAAGATGCAAATTAATGTTTCTAAAATTACACATATAATCTATTTTATTCATTAAATGTGTCAATATTAAATTAGCTATTTTCTGCATGTGAACTTCAATACTAAATTCTACCAGTTGGTTAACAATAAGAACTTATACTTAAGATACTATCTCACAATATAAGTCCCCTTTCTGCCAAATAGACACTTGGATTTGAACTGGCAGACTCTAAAATTTAATCAAAATTTCAACTGCATAAAAGGGAGAGCTTAAGATGCACTATGTTTCTAAATGTCAATACAATTTTACATTTAAAAAAAAGTTATGAATAGTTGATTTTTAATAATTATCTTTTCTGTGTAAGAATTAAGTATTTTCCTCATACATTTATAAAAGTCTACTCAATATCCAGCAAGTAATTCCAGGGTAACTATGTAAAATTAATCTATTACAGATAACTTGAGGTTGCTAAAGTACTTTAAAAGCTTTCTCTAAAATAACTTATGCCTTCCCCTTAAATTTCAATTAACAATTTATTTAGTAAAAGTTGAAAAAAAGACAAGATATAAAAACAATGTCACTCTAGTCTGTGTTCCTACCATCACATGACACAAATTAGATCTGAAATAATGATAAACTATTACACACAGATTTGAAAACCTCAGTCAAGAGAGAACTTATTTGGCACAATAATCTTCATAATAAAAATAGCAAATACTTATATAGTTCTTTGTTCTAGACACTGCAGCAAGCTATACATAAATATTGATTCATTTATTCCTCCAAACAACCATGGGAGGCAAAAATATTCCCAT